CACATGAACTATGAACCAAAGGCTGAGGGCCCCCAGCTGGATCAGGCCCTCTGAATAGGTGAGACAGTTGATTGGCTTGATCAGTTTGGGAGGCAACTAGGCAGTGGGACCAAGTCTTGTGCTCATTGCATGAGTTGGCTGTTTGAAACCTGGAGCTTATGCAGGGACACTTGACCCAGTCTTGGGGGAAGGGACTGGACCTGCCTGGACTGAGTCTACCAGGTTGATCGCAGTCCTCGGGGTAGGATTTGCCCTGGAGGAGGTGGGAATGGGGCGTAGGCTGGGTGTAAGAAGAGGGAGTGGGAGGGGGGAGAATAGGGGAACCCATGGCTGATATGTAGAACTGAATGGTATTGTAAAATAAAATTAAAAAAGAAAAAGAAAACAAACTTTATACAGAGTTTCATCAATGCCCATCATCTTTTCTGGATTATATTGGTGCTGCCAGGAGCAGATGTGTCCCACTCTTATGAAAAGCCTACGTTCTTAAAACATTTTAAATGCCATATTCTGTAGGTCTTTGAAGTGTTTGAAGATTGCCTATCTAGCTGAAATATATCTCTGTATGACCTTAAAAACATACCTAATATGACTATAAGTTTGCTATTATAGATTACTATTAATCAGTATTTCTTAATTATACATTATATTTTTAATTGAGCTGCACTAACATCATACCCTAAACAAGAGTAGAAATATACATACAGTATAACAAAATTAACTTTAAATTTGTATCAATAAACCAAAATATTTACCAATATAAAATATGGAACATTAATTGTTGTTTTTTGGATTAAAGTAGATTTAATAATCTACCCTTTTTTCCCATTATAATAACCTACTATTTTTGTTGTTGTTGTTTTTGTTTGATTGTTTGTTTGTTTTAAGAAAGGGTTTTTCTGTGTTGTTTTGGTGCCTGTCCTGGATCTTGCTCTGTAGACCAGGCTGGCCTCAAACTCACAGAGATCCACCTGTCTCTGTCTCCCGAGTGCTGGGATTAAAGGCGTGTGCCACCACTACCCAGATAATAATCAACTTTTTCCCCCTCATTTCTCTATCATATCTCCCTTTCTTCTTTTAGGAAGAAATTGACTATGACCAATAACAATTTGTAACCAAAACTCTCTTAAGTGAAAAGAAACATTTATAACCAATATTTTGGGAATGTGGGCATAGTTCTCTAGATGACTTTCTGCTGCTTGGTGGCACTGGTAATCTTTGGGAGACCCTGAGAAAATTTAAGATTATGGTCGAGTCCTGACTGGAGTACTCTGTGAGGCTGGCTCATCTCAGCCAGCAGCCTTGAAGCTGTTCTGAATGCAGACTCAGAGGAAACTGCCACAGAGGTGCTTTGAAATGCTGGATCATCTGGGCCATCCATTCCCAGAGAATTTTCAGGGGGTCTTCCTTGATCAAACCTCATTTTTCTTAACTCAGAATGAATCCAGAGCTCCTCACTTCCTATGGAAATAAAAGTAGATCCTCTTTTCCAAAGTAACATATCTTCTGACTTAAAATTTGAAATCAATATATTTTTAAAATATATAGGTTGGTTTAATCTAGCAGCTTTCATAATAAAATGTCTCTTAGTAGTTATCATTTGTTCATTAGCCATCAAAAAATGTAAAGACAACACAATAAAGATACAGTGTTCAGACTCTGTGTATTTTCCATCTTTGTGTGGCTTATTATGGTTTTTATTACTCTATTTCTTTTTTAAGGACTTTCTTTACCCTTTTTCTTTTTTCTCTTCTTAGCCTACACATATTTTTAAACATACTGTAACCTGATTAGAGGTTTTTTGTTTTGTTTTGTTTTTGTCTGAATCTGACCACATGAGCATTTAAACTGCTAAGCATCATGGCTAGGACAAAGTGACTGGCTCTGCCCTACTCCTTGACTTCCTGAGAGTCTAGCTTCATGGCAGAGGTACTGGTGGGGGCCACTCGTAGGCCCCAACTCTGGGGAATTTCCAGATCCATGCCACCACTGAGTAGCACTGTTCATAAACACTATATAAATGTTTGGTAGCAGGGCCTCTTAAAAGAGCTACCTGTTTTTACCGCCAACACTGAGTTAGGAAGCCATCTCTTTAAGGAGCTGTGTGTCCTTGCTCAGCGCCAGCAAATAGAACCCAACCAGAAAAAAAGTGGTTACCAAGAAGCTGAGTTTGATTCCATTTTTGTGTGTTTAGAATTCTTTTTCAAGCTTTTTCAGGCTTTATGTGGAAATTTTTGCCAAACATTTGTGTGCAGAAGTTTCTGTCCCACCAGCAACTCCCAAATACCCAGCAGCTGCTTCCTAAGTTACCACACAGAGGCTTATATTACTTACCAATGCTTGACTGGTAGCTCAGGCTTATTACTAACTAGCTTTTACACTTAAATTAACTCAAAATTTTTATCTATGTTTAGCCACATGGTTTGATACCTTTTCTCACTACAACATTCTCATCTTGTTTCTTCTGTGTCTGACTGGCAATTTCCAGTCCTTCTCCTTCCCAGTACTCTGTTTGGCTTCCCCGCCTACTTCCTGCCCAGCATTTTATTAAACCATTTCTTGTGACAAATCTTTACAGTGTACAAGAGGATTATTTCACAGCAATACAAAGTTTGGTTCTTTGATATTTAATTTGTTTCTATACTTTTCAGGTTGCTTAAGAGGCACTCACTTTTGGCTTTCCAAAAGCAGCAAGTCTGTCAGCCAAAATCAGAAGGTATGGGCTTTATTTCTTCTACTTGCACAGCACTTTCTTCCCAGATAGGAGACACACTGGTAAAATATCTATGTGTTTGCATTATACATCCGAAGACCCTGTCTCAAATGATATTTAATAGACCTAACTTACCGAACACCACAGAAAAACACAGCCTACCTTAGGCATGCTTGGAATAGTTCACACTAGTCAGCCTGGTGGTGCAGGCCTGGAATTGTAGCTACTTGGAAGGCTGAGGCAGGAAGATTGCCAAATTAAGATCAGCCGGGGTTAGAGAGCAAATTCAAGGCCCACATGAGATAATTCTTGAGACTGTCTCAAGATATAAAGTACATGGGCTGAGGCTGTTGCTGAGCCTAGCAAAGGGAGAGCTTCAGGCTCAATCTCTGTCTCCCCTGTCCTTGGCCCCCAACCCAAGAAAAATAGAACACTAGCCTTAATTTACTATTTCACAAATCATCTAACAAAAATCCTGTTTTAATTAAAGCACTGAATAGCTCATGTAGTGCTGTATTCAGTGAGATGGTTCAGTGGGTAAAGTTGCTGCCAAGACAACTTGAGTTTAACCTCCAGGACCCATGTGGTAGAAGGAGAGAACTGACTCTGGCAGGTTGTCTTCATCAACAGTAAGGTCCACAACTTCTGCCGCGTTCTGCCTCAGGGGCTGTATAACAGTAGAGATCCTACTGCGGTTTCGATGCTCTTGTGGTCGAACTGTATGCAAACTTGAACCTTGGCTCCAGTGAGATCTGGAGTGCCCAAGGGTTGAACGAGACTGATAGCTTTCTCCAACTGTAACAATCTCCACTTCACTGTCAGTTGAGGTAACATTAATTGTGACCTGGGGAGTGAAGGAAGCTTCTATCACCACAACATCTTCATCAATACTTCCTGAGGGGGCAGCAGGGTTGCTGGGGTTCTCGCTGGCAGATGCACACAGGTCCTCCACTCCGTCCATTGAGGAACTGGAAGAGGAGTCGCTGCTGAGGTCGTTCTCACTAGAGCTACTGGATGGAGCTGGGGAGGAGCGCATACTTCCTCTGGGCCAGCTCCTCCCACTTCTTCCTCTGCACCAGCAGCCTCTCCTTCTGCTTCTGTGTCCTCTGAGAGGAGCTGCTCTTCACTAGTCTCTTTCTGCATGGGAGTCTCCTCAGTGCACTACCGTGAAAACAAAGTCTTTTCATCAACAAGCCTGACACAGACTCTGCCTCAGTCCGAGGCCACTTTTGGGACCGTGCATTGTGACTTCTGCTTTTAGCACTCAAAACAGGCTGGGGATGTCTCCGTGAGACTTCTTTGTCCTCATCTGAAGTCACAGTGTCAGAGTCCCCAAAATGGAGACTAGAAGAGGGGGAAGACAGACACTCACTGAATGAAGAGTCATTGTCCTCATCACTTGGTGTCTCCAGATGTTGTCTCAACCCTAGGATTCCCTGATTTTCTTTGACACAATTCTGTACATATGAGGGGCCAGCCTGTTGGCTTTTGCGCTTTTTCCTCACAACACCACTTTTTTCTTGTTCTTGCTGGTTGCCATTCATGTCCTTCTCTTGTTTTGAATCATCACACAGGTGAGAGAATTCATTCCCCACTCTGCTGTTAATCATCTCCACTTCTGCAGGGAAGCTCTTGGTGGCCCCTAGGGACTGTGGGTGCAGAAGGACCCCCTTCAGACTCTCCTGTGTTGTGGGCGCATCAGGAGGAGTCCCACTCTTCATAGTCACTTTTAGGGTGTAGACCTCGGTAAATTCAGGAGTCCATTGAGACATGGGAAACTTTAAGGCAGGCTTCAACTCTGGCTTCAAGCTTGATCCTCGGAAAATGACTCCAAAGTTGCCCTCTGACCTCTACACATACATCTTGATGCATGTACCCCGAGTCCACAGCCCCCGTGCGGCCAGGGCCGGGGCTCGCTGGCGCAGGCCAGCAAATAGCACCCGACCAGGCAGAGGCGAGGCTAAGGCGGGCCGGGTGGCTCTCCTTAGGAGGGCGTCTGTCAACGCCGCGACCGAGCATGCGACTCAGCCCGGCTTGACACAACCCGCCTTGGAACGCCTGATCGCGCACAGCCCACGCGCTCTGGCGACCCTGAACAGCGGCGTATCTACGCCGC